TGGGGAATCCAGGGAAAGGGGCTGGGGATGATGGGGAATCCAGGGAAAGCGGCTGGGGATGATGGGGAATCCAGGGAAAGGGGGTGGTGATGATGGGGAATCCAGGGAAAGCTGCTGGTGGTGATGGGGAATCCAGGGAAAGGAGTCTGGAGGAAGAGGATGGTGATGGGAATCCAGGGAAAGGCGTTCGAGGAAGGGGCTGGTGATAAGGAAGAGAGAGAAAGGTATCTGGAGGAAGGGGCTGGTGATGGGAATCCAGGGAAAGCTGGTGATGTGGAATCCAGGGAAAAGTGTTTGAGGAAGGGGCTGGTGATGGGAATCCAGGGAAAGGCGTTTGAAGAAGGGGATGGTGATGTGGAATCCCGGGAAAGGGGTTTGGAGGAAGGGGATGGTGACATGGAAGGATTCAGGAGAGGGAAGGGACCTCAATGATCATCTCATTCCATGGGAAGAGACACTTCCCAGTATCCCAGGTCGCTCCAAACCCTGTCCAATCCACCCTGAGCAATTCCAGGGATGGGAATTCCATTCCTCTGGGAAAAGCTGGGCCTGTTCCTCAGGATCATTTTGAACTTTGGATTTTAATGCAAATAATGTCTTAAATCATCTCCCCCCCAACCCTTGGCTGGAGCAAAGGGGATCTGCAAGATTCCAAGATTCAAAATAAATTAATCAATTGATTAATCAATCAAATTTCAAATTTAATATTAAAAATAAAAAGTGTCAAAACAACCTGGAAAAAAAAATCAAAAAAATATGAAAAGGGGGAAAAAAACCAGGTCAGGGATAAAAAAAGAGGGTTGTAGGAAAAGGTGGATTTTGCCAGAAAAACACAGGAGGAAATAAATATATTGAGGAAAAATCAAGAATCAACAGGAATTTTGGATGGGAAACATGGAAGGATAAATCCAGTGGGGTAAAAGGTGGATTTTCGCACAAAAATACAGGGAAAATAAAAATATTTTTAAAAAAATCAACAAGCTACAGGAATTTTGGATGGGAAATCTACTAAAATTCAACTAAATTTGAATTTTCACCCTTTAACCCAAAGAAATCAAACTCAAAATTTAATTTTCACAGTTTTGCCTTAAGAAATAAAACTCCATTTTCAGTTTTACCCTAAAAAATAACATTAAAAATTAAATTGTCACTCTTTTACCCAAAGAAATAAAACTCAAATTCAATTTCCAGTTTTACCCAAAGAAATAAAAAAAATTGAATTTTCACGTTTGCCTTAAGAAATAAAATTCAATTTTCAGTTTTACCCTAAAAAATAACACTCAAAATTCAATTTTCACACGCTTATCCAAAGAAATAAAACTAAAATTCAATTTCCAGCTTTAGACAAAGAAATAAAAACCTCAAAATTCAATTTTCACACTCTTGCCCTCAGAAATAAAATTCAATTTTCAGTATTACCCTAAAGAATAAAACTCAAAATTCGATTTTTACTCTTTTACCTTAAGAAATAAAAAATAAAAATTCAATTTTCCCCCAGAGAAATCAAACCCAAACCCCCCCAAACCATCCTGCTCAGACCTCCCCGGGTCCCCCAAATCCCACGGAATATTTACCACTTCCACTTGTTTTCCGCCTCTTTCTCCTCCTCTTTCTGCGCCTTCTTGTTGCTCTTTTCTCCTCCTCCTTCCTGAGTTTTCCTTTTCCTGCTTTTCCCTGGAGTCTCCTCCTCTTGGCTCTTCTTCTCCTCCTTCTCTTCCCCCTTGGGCTTTTTCTTCTTGCTTTTCCTCTTTTTCCTTGGCTCATCTCCCTTCCCTTCCTCTTCCTCCTCCATCCCCGTTCTCCAGGTCTCTCCCAACTTTTCCTCCCCCAGCTCTTCCTCCTCCTTGACTCCTTTTCCATCTCCACTTCCCTTTCCCACCTCGTCTTTTCCCTCCCTTTCACTTCCCGCTCCTTCCTCCTCCATCTTTTCCACCTCTTGCTCCTTTTCCTTTTCCGACACTTTTTCCTTCTTTATTCTCTTTTTTCCCACCTTTTCCACCCCTTCCACTTTCACCTTCTTGTGCTTCTTGGCCTTTCCCTTCTCCTGCTTTTCTCTCCCATCCCCCTGTCCCTGAAATCTGCTGCTTTTCCCTCTTTTGGCTCTTCCCTGTTCCTCTTCCCAATTCCTGCCTCCCTCATCCTCCTCCTCC